CAACAATGGAGTCACAATGTCTGTCAAAAATTGACAAAACAACAGTTATTCGTTAGAAGATATTTTGTTTAAAACGCGGTGTTTAGGTTCTCAATATACGAGATACAGCGTTTGTACAATGGACAATCAATACTGCATTTTCATGCCTCTCAAGCGATCTTCAGACCATGTGTTGGTGTTACTTAACCTGTGAAACTGAGTCAGCATCTAATGTATTGATTTATATGCCCAATATATATCTATATATGTGCCAACCTACCTACCTACCTATCGACCTAAGCCTGTTCACTTCTAGGTATCCATCTACCTAAACCTTTTCACATCTATCTAATATATATATATATATATATTATAAATATATATATATATATATATATATAAATATATATATTATATATATAATATAATATATATAATATAATATATATATAATATATATATTATATAATATATATATATAATATATATAATATATATACAATAAATATATAATATTTATAATATAATATAAAAATATACAATATATATATATAATATATATAATATATATATAATATATATATAATTTATTATATAATATAATATATATATATATATATATATATATATATATATATATATATATATATATATATATATATATATATATATATATATATATATATACCAGTCTCCTCCCTATGTATATATCTTTATGCCAGTCTGTTTATCTCTCTATCTATCTATCTATCTATCTATCTATGAGTTTGTTTTACCATCCATCTATCAGTCAGGTTATCTATCTATCTATCTATCTATCTATCTATCTATCTATCTATCTATCTATCTATCTATCTATATCTATCTATCCAAGACATTTCATTATCTATCTATCTATCTATCTATCTATCTATCTATCTATCTATCTATCTACTCATCTTTGTTTTTTCTTTTGTTAATTTATCGCTTTAAAAAATCTAAAAATCTTTCCACCTTTTTCTAAAACTTCAATGAATAATATTTCTTTTGTTTCTCTTTAATTTCTCATCGAATTTCTCGACCACTTCTCTCTGTATCAGAGAGCTAGACGTCTGAAAAACAACGTTTCCTCTTACCTAACCCGATATAAACCTCCCAGTGTTGCACGTTATTGTCAAATTCACCATACACATGCATCATGCACTACATTCTACACAATTTTGAATTTCGCGTTTTCTTTTTGTTAGACTAGCAACCATCCAAGGCTACACTATTTGCACGATAGCTGCAGGAGGGGGAGGAAGTATAGAATCATTACCTTTCCAAGTGAAAACCGGAATTTGAAATCTAACCACCGATTCTACATAGCCGAACATCCTCATGGAATTAGGTTACATACAGTTCTTGATAGCCTACGAAAATATCCAAAATTTCCACACTTAGAGATATCTTTCGAATTTTTTTGCCGGTTTATATTCTATCAAAGACATTATACCGAATCAGATGAATACAACTTAATGACTTACGAATGAAACAAATAACTAAACAATTATTTACCACGATTTTTTTGGTTTCCATGAACAGCACAAGATCGTTACTATTGACGTCGAAAAAAAAAAAACAAAACAGGAAGACAAAATAAAATAAAGAAAACAAACAAAAAACAAAAGAAGTATTTGCCGTGATATGTAAATTAACTAACCCTCTGTCTACCAAGAAAACTCACTTCTATTAAATACCACCTGAGTTCAATAAACCCATTTCGAATTTGTTTTTAAACTCTTCAATCTTTTTGGATTTTTGATGATATTAGGTATATATAATTATCGATGGAAGAAGAAATAACAATTTTAATCAAACTTTATTTACTGAAACAGAAAAAAGTACATTACATCTCTGCATTTAGTTTGAATATATGAACTTAATTCTTATTACATTTAAAAAAAAAAAATTACAATTCATCGGTGCATTGTGAACAGAATACGAATGACTTTAACAGACATGTTTTTGGCAAATATGACAGACAGCTATCGTTTTTCTATCCAATTTAGGACCACACATGATGAATCATTTTTTTGCTTCTCTTATTGGGTGGTTCCTGGGTAGTGTATTGCTCACTAGTGTTTGTAGTTGTACTAATACCTGAAAGAGCTGAATTCTTTCAGCATTTGTTCATTTTTGGATCATTTCCAAGAGATTTGGCTTCATGAACATAAATGATGAAAGAGTTGAATCACAAGGTCTTCTTGCAAAACGTGAATGTTCAGGCTTTTGATGTAAAACATTGTTGGGTGGAGTTCTTGCTTTTTTTCCCTTTAAAGTTGGTTTACAGGACCAAATTTCAGACTGACCCTTCGAATAATATTTTTCATTAATTATTGAAGGATTTGAAGAATCATTTCTGTCAGTTTTCTTGCCCTCATTTATATCCTCATCCGATACTGAATAAGTTATGCTGGCAATTATCACTTTCATTATCATCTTCAGAAAAAAAAATGGCGCCTATTTAGAATGGAGGCTATTTTTCTTATTCACTTTCAACCAATAGTCCAATGGACACACTTGGTAATAGAAGTCTCTCACTAAAATTTTATTTTTTGTTCTAAATTTATTTCCTTTACGTAGATGATAGAAAACGAAGAAAAATAAGTTCAAAAAATAATTCGAATAGAATAACTCTAAAGATGAAAGAATTAGTTTTATAAAAAATAAAATAAAATAAAATCAATAAATTATGGGTCAATTGAACCCATTGGTAGACCGAGGACTAATTAACATATCCGGAATACCCAGGCTATATAATGGTGCAGATTAATAAGAGGAAAGATTACGCATGCGTATTGAGTAGTTACACGAATGACTTCAGAACAGCATTATTCATTAAATGGAGACTCTCGGAAGAAAATATCCCATTTGTAATTAATGATAATGATAAAACGAACATTTTGTCACCTACTTTAAATATATATCTATTTCAAAAGGAGGCGGTAATAGATCTTCGAAGATTAAATCTTTCATTATTATCAGTGAACTGCCATGAACTCTTGTAAAAAGTGTAGCAAAGGCTAAAACCAAATATTACCTCGTAAAAGAATTCATATTCCCTTCCTATATCTCGAAGTTTACTTTACAAATTTACTTCTGTATTTGGAACAAAGCCGAAGAAGAAAATCAGTAAAAAAGTTAATCTCGATTTTAGTAGGCATTATTATTACAGTTCCTTATCAACCTCAACCAATCTCTATCATACTTACCCTCATAACACAACGCTACTTTGGAATACAGCGAGACTCTAAGCCCACTGGGACTAGGCACTTCGAAGTTATGTAATGGCGTACGAGCTTGTCTCACAACATCAGTTACAATTGAGTAGTAAGTTCGATTCTCAATGGGTGCCTCATATTTTCGGCTTTCTGCTACATGTAACTTACGCAAATCAACTTAGCCCATTGGAATTAACGTTACGTCTCTCTTTTCGGCAGGAGAGGTATTCGGTCACGGGAGACAGAAAGAATATATCAGTACCTCCTCAAAAGAGTGGCAGTCGGTAGTAATGCCGATGCAAGGGCAACTGACTTTTGTGGGGGCTGAGCAATTTGGGACCAATGTTGTCAGCCCGGGTGAACTTGCTGGGGCTGATAACATCAAACTGACGTTGTCACATGCCGTCACCGTGATGGGAGCAGAGGATGTGTAAAAATCGTGATTCTTGGCATGTCGTGTGAGAAGAAGGCAGTTGCGTGTTGTGGATAAGGATGTTTGAACCCTTTTGATTTATTCCCCTACCCAGCCTCTCTTCAGATGCGGAACTTTCATGTCCTTTGGAATTACGAACCCGGATTTATGATTTTTTTTTTTTTGTTAATTGACCGACGCCATTTCTATTGGTGTTATTATGTCGCATCTCTCAAGATTTGAATGTAGAGTTTTTCATTCTCTTAGACCAAAAGCATTATATTAATCTTCAGGGGTGGGGCTGTTCCCTTTCTGCTATCTACACCTAGGTTGGGTGTTAAAAATGCGTACAGCGTATTAAAAAGAGACTAGAAACAAACAAAAAAAATAAAATAAGATAAAATAAAAAACAATAAAGAACGAGACGTCAGAAAGGTAAATAGCACAACGCACAATGTACTATCAATATTTCCTAGCGGTGGGGAATACAACCGCTTCACGTTGAAATACCGAGGCACATCCGATCACCGAAATTATACCTGGCCAGTATATAGATGGAGTACCGCTTGGGAATATCAAGTGCTCTAAGCTTGGATGTACGGTTGGTTTGGATTACGACGAGATCACGTTGAAACAGCAATCGTCATGCGATCACTGGTGTCAAGCAACGTCGAGCGTGCTCAGTATTTAAATGGGTGACCGCTTGGGAATACCAAGTGCTATAACCTTGGATGTACAGGTGGTTTGGCTTGGCAATAAACTTTCAAAAAAAGCGATTCTCGTACGAAAACCGAAGTTAAGCAAAGTTGAGCCTGATCAGTAATTAAATGGGTGACCGTTTGAGAATACCAAGTGCTCTAAGCTTGGATGTTACGGGTGGTTTGGCTGACGGCGATTGCTCTAAGCTTGGATGTTACGGGTGGTTTGGCTGACGGCGATTGCTCTATCTATTGGATGTTACGGGTGGTTTGGCTGACGGCGATTCAAAAAAGCTTGATGTTACCGGGTGGTTTGGCTGACGGCGATTGCTCTTTATTGGATGTTTGGGTGGTTTATTGACGGCGATTGCTCTAAGTTTTATTACGGGTGGTTTCTGATGGCGATATTACTTTGAAACAGCGATTCTCGTACGATCACCGAAGTTTCAACGTTGAGCCTGCTCAGTAATTAAATGGGTGACCGTTTGGGAATACCAAGTGATTTAAGCTAGGATTTACGGGTGGTTTGGCTTACGGCGAGATCACGTTGAAACAGCAATCGTCATGCGATCCCGGGTGTCAAGCAACGTCGTGCGTGCTCAGTATTTAAATGGGTGACCGCTTGGAAATACTAAGTGCTATAACCTTGGATGTACAGGTGGTTTGGTTGACGGCGATATTACTTTGAAACAGCGATTCTCGTACGATCACCGAAGTTAAGCAACGTTGAGCCTGCTCAGTAACTAAATGGGTGACCGTTTGGGAATACCGGCGCTCTAAGCTTGGATGTCTGGTTGGTATGGCTTGCGGCCACATCACGTTGATAAACCAGTTTCCGTACGATCACCGAAGTTAAGCAACGTCGAGCCTACTCAGGGTGACCGCTTGGGAATACTAAGTGCTATAACCTTCGATGTACGGTCGGTTTGCCTTGTGGCGATATTACTTTGAAACAGTGATTCCCGTACGATCACCGAAGTTAAGCAACGTCGATCCTGGTCTGTATTTAAATGAGTAACCTCTTGGTCAAGTGTTGTAAACTGGAATGTGAGTGTAGTTTAACAGTTCGGAATAAGAAATCGGAGATCCAAGTTTGAATTCCAGTCGGGTTCGTTATATTCACCAGGCTCGATGTTTCTAAACTTTGTTGATCAGATGAGAGCCATTTTCCCCTCGATGGTTTCCCTAATCTAGCTGAAGAGAATTTCTATCGTTTATTTGTTCGCCCTTAATTCTAAAAAAAAATAATCAGCATATCGCGCACATTGATCTGAATTCTGTAAAAACTGGGTAAGTCCAAAAGAAAATTTATCAAGTTTTTTAGGCCACCTTTGCATTTTCTTTGTAACCGGACCCAATAAAGTCTGTTAAATATTTTCTTTTTTTTTGTGAAGTTTTTTTTATATCTGTGCACACAGTTCGTGAGTTGTTCATGTGAAAAGATGATAACGAGCGCATTGTTTAATACATTTAAGTTCCACCAAGAAAAGTCCACATGCACCTTTTGAAGCTAAACACTTATATCCAAATCAAACCCAATTTTAAGGGCCGGTTTTCAGCTAGAAGATTAGGCGCACATGGTTAAGTGTAAATGGCAAATATCAACAGGCTAAATTTTAAAAACGCAATTGCTGAAATTCTCAGCAAAAAATTTAAAAAAAATCAAAAAATCAAATAATACGAGTATATATATATATATATATATATATATATTATTTATATTTAGGTTATTGTTAGAATGATGAAATATCCTTATTTTTTATCATCACTGTTGCAAGGTTATTTTTAAAATGATGAAATATCAACATCATTCTGGATTAACAAGGAAAGTTGGCTCCCTGAGCCGCGCTAGGAAGTTTTTCTCCCCTGAGTCGATCCTCTAGATATACAAATCCACAATTGCTCTTGCATGGAGTATTGCTGCCATATATGGTCTGGCGCCCTTCTGTTTGCCTCAGGGTTCTTGATAGGCTCCAGAGGCGGATATGCAATAAGTTGGCCCTGCCCTGGCGTCTCGTCTACAGTCACTTTCTCACAGACGCGCCGTCGCCTCCCTCTGTCTGTTCTACAAATACTTTCATGGAAATTGCTCCGAGGAGCTGCATTCGCTGGTTCCCAGACGTCATGAGTAAAGCGCCCTACGAGGCTGGCATCCCGCTCTCACCCCTTCACTGTTGAAACTCCTAAATGTAGCCGTCTCTTCTACTCTAATAGCTTCATGTCTCGCACCTCTCGCCTGTGGAACTCCCTTCCTATTCCTGTTTCCCTGTGAGCTATAATCTCCAGCTATTCAAGTGTAATGTCAATCGACATCTCCAGTTGCCTTGATCTATCCACTATCCTCATCCTTTCTTCTATCACTCCTATCTGATCTTGCTATTTTCTGTAACCCCTTGCATCCTAGTGGCTTCCTGCCTTGCTTGGGGTGAAACGCTTAAAAAAAAAAAAAAAAAAAAAAAAACACACACACACACACACATATATATATATATATATATATATATATATATATATATATATATATATAAATTTTCTTTGAATAAATGTTTTCCATAAAACATGTCTCATTTAATAAATTGAACAAGTTTTGTCTGCTTATTTTAATGGGATCCTCTCGTAATTAAGTAAGTTCTTTAGTATTCTTATTAAAGAAATAAAGAAAATTACCATGTTTATGCATATTTCTTTTATTCCGAGTACTTTCGGCATTAGTATAATGTCATCATCAGGGTCTTGATTTTTCTAATAAATATTAATATATTCATCACAGATCATAGTAAAAAAAAATAAATTAATTATATATTATACTAAATTTAATATATTTAATATAATCTTTCGTAATAATTGTTTTCTATCAACTAAAGTGCTGCAGAAAGCCAATATTGTATATAAATTTAAATGTCCCTTGGGAAATTGTATCACCAACAGGAAAATAATATATATTTTGGCCATACCACTACTACGTTTTGTCGAAGGTTAAGTTTTCATAATAATGATGTATCTAACCTCTATCAACATTTACAACAACATGCCAGTCCACATTCGCAATTTACGAAAATACTTGTTGAAAATACATCTATACTTTTTATGAAAATAATAAACAGAAACTTAAAATTCTTGGAGCTACCTATATTAAGCATTTGAATTAAGTCCTTAATAAAAATTAATTATGAATACTGCACAAATGTTTTAAAATCTTTACTGTAGATAGTTTAAAATATTTAGTTTTTAAGACATAGTTTTAAATAGTCTTTTTATGTTTAGACTTTACAATAAATTAGTTACCTCCCTTGTCGTTTCCACATCTCCCTCACCATCTAGAGTAATTTCGTTTCGAAAGAAGCGTTTACGTCGCTGCATGATGGAAATTATTAGTATTGACAGTCGGTTCTGTCTTTGCCTGACATTTTCCGTCTTTTTTATTTGTTGCGTCCATCAAGCGGTCTGTATGCAAACGTCAATGTATCCCCCTTTTTTACGTGTGAAGAAAAAAAAGCCAAAGGTTATGTATATATGATTTGTTTAATACTGTTTATTATAAAAGAGAGCAAAATTGATGAAATATGTCTTAATATATTCAGATTTTTATATATATATAAATATATATATATATATATAGTTTATATAAAAATTTATTTAATCCGTATGGGTAAACCTAAGGAGGATCTTCCAGAGAGCTCAATGTTAAAAACCTGAGCAAATAATTTAAAAAAAAACAAATTCTTTTAAGGTTCTAATATATACATTTTTCACCACAGCCCTTTTAAAAAAATGGGATGAAAAGGTTCAGACTTTATTTTCATTAAATTTTTTTTTTTATTTAAAGTCTGATGGTCCACAGTTCTTTAAAAGGGCCCTAAGAAATAATTTATTACAAAAAATGTCTTTAAAATAGTATTGTTTTTATTTATAAAAATATATATATATATATATATATATATATATTGTCTAATAGGCATTAAATACAAACTGCGGAATTCAAACTAATATCACCTCAAGAAGGCCGTAGAATGGAAGGGTCGAAACGTGGTGGACATGGCAATAAAGATGAATACAACAGTCCGAACAATGTTCATGGTTACAATACCTCATCTCGGAAATATAGACAAATGTTGAAGTATCCTGAAATAAGCATTTATTTGTTAATAAATTTAAATGTGTTTGGTATCTCCAGCTTTTTATAAATAAATATATTTGAAATATAAAAATAATTCTTAAATTACTCCTTCGTTAACTTGGGACGTACCTTATTTTTTATAATAAAGGGCGCTGTTATTTTGGGAGTAACTGGTTTAGAAACGCTGCTCTAGAGTGTCCACTTCAGAAATACAAGTTATTCTATCTACCTTTCCTAAGTGTCAAGGGATGCCGAGTCCTTTTTTTTTTAAAGACAACCAGTAAACAAATGAATAAAATCTTTTAAAAACAAAGTATGGGTTCTGAACAAAAGCGAATCAGAAGTTTAAACTTCCCCTTCTTATTACCAATTCCGGTCATCAAAGTCATCCCTCATTAATCTTTAACTGAACGGATAACGATTCTTCAAAGCATCAGTTTCAAAATCAAGCTGTTCTTGTGCTCCTGCCTAATCGCGTTGGGGAGAAAAAAAAATCCCAAAATGGAAATACCGCCATTTTCGGTCCGTGGCTGTATATTTGAATTCAGCCTGTCTGCAAGTACTAATTAACAGTGATAGGTCCGTCTGGAGCAATCTGATTTAAAATTCCGGTCACGAGTTCGAGCCCAGACGTTCGTTTATCGAAGAAATCCTTACATTTCTATTTGGAATTTCACAACTTATTTTTTTTTCTTTTCTTCGGCTTTCTACAGTTTCTCTTGGTGAATTAAGGGCGATATCTGAGCCGTTTTGGTACAGAATTCCTGGATTTTCGAAGACAGATCTCGACGTGCGAAATACTAAAATATTTGTATCAGTCGGAGTACTTTTTCATACAATTGTTCAAAAAAATACAAAACCCAAGAGCCACTCGAGTTTTACAGAATGAGGTTGTTGCAAGGGCGTAAAGGAAGGAAGTGTAACGAGGTCTGTTAGAAATGACTGAAATTAAAATGCATAAAACGTACAATGATAACAACAATAAAAACTTGAGACACGTATTGACAGAAATAAGAAGAATTTGTATTTTATTTTTTGGTGAATTACAGAATATGTGCATAAAATATTCTCTGTGTCTCTTTTGTTTTACTTGGTTTGATGCCGAGACTTTCCTTTGTGAGGATGCTGTTTGAAATCGTCTGTTTTCGTTCTTCACGGAGCACTGGCTAGACATCAGTTGCAGTACTACTATTTGTCTATTCATTACTGACTACTGCTACAGTTATCCTAGTTTACTCTACTGTTCTCTACTCTACGGAATCTCTTGTGTTGAAAAGTTGTTTATATGAAGATCATTTTTTAGGACGATGAAATATTCTTTTATATCATTGAAAGATTATTTTTAGAATGATGAAATATCCTTATTTTTAATCAACACTGATGTCAAGGTTATTTTCAGAATGATGAAATATCCTTATTTGTAATCAACACTGATGTCAAGGTTATTTTTAGAATCATGAAATATCCTTATTTTTGATCAAAACTGATGTCAAGGTTATTTTCAGAATGATGAAATATCCTTATTTTTAATCAACACTGATGTCAAGGTTATTTTCAGAATGATGAAATATCCTTATTTTTAATCAACACTGATGTCAAGGTTATTTTCAGAATGATGAAGCATCATTACTTTTTATATTCACTGATGACAAGGTTATTTTTAGTATGATGAAATATCCTTATGTTTTATGAAATACTAGCAGTAGAGCCCGGCGTTGCCCGGGGATGTAACAGTAAGAGATAGATCAAGTATCGACCATCATAAAGACTGAAAAATAAAATTGATAA